ATTAAATAATTACCTCTAAAGATTTCTTACTCCCAAAATTAAAAAATAAGAAATTTTTTTTTAAAAAAAAAAAGATAAGAGAGGGTAAAAAATTTAGGATGAGATGAAGAATCTAGTATCACATGGAGGGCCATGCATAAGGAAAAGTACCCGCGTTTCCCGGCACAGCGAAAGAGGGGAAAAAATTTTATAAAAAAGAACAGAAAAAAAAAAATTAAGGATGGAGTTAAGATCATGAGACTACAGAAACAGAGGGCAAAAGAGAAAGCAGCGGCGCAGCACGTGAGTTTTCCTCCCTCATTACCAACATCCTCTTCTTTCTGCGCAGTTGCTATAAATTTTTGAGATAATTGGGATCTGTGCCCTAATCATAAGTTGTAATTATATCTTAATTAATCATCCTGTCCGAGTCAACCCGTTAGTGTTCCCAAGTCAACCTTTCCAGTTTACCCCTCACGTGATCTCTTTTACCTGTGATTGTGGCAGAGGCTTGGCTTTTCTGGTATGGGATGGATGAGTGAATTGGAATGGGGGTAGAGGGGGTGGTGGGGGGTGGGGGGTCCTGGCTCTGGGGGAGTTGGGTTGTGCATGTGGACATCCTTAAAACTAGAGAGAGAGGCTACGGATAGGTTTGTAATTCTACGACTACAGGACTTTTTTGGATCATTCACCCACCCACCAACGTGACAACTTCTACTTATGAGTTGTGATTTCTTGGATAAGGGTGTGATTATGATATCTACTTAATCTGTCAAAATTATTAATAATTGTTAAATTTTTAATTTAATTTAATTATTAAAATAATTAATAATTAATAACAAAAATTAAAATTAATTTATAAATAAATATTTATAAATAATATAATTAATTATTTAAAAATTTAAAAATTAATAAAATTATAATAAATTAAATAGTGATAATAACCTCATGCCTTTGCATAAAGCCAGTACATGTATTGTGAACGCGAGGTGAATTTTCCCTTTCAAGTCTTTTAAAACAAACTAGTTACATTTGAATAAAAATTTAGTTGATGATAACTAGGATGTGTGAGAAAGGTTTTGCAAAAATTGCAATATTGTTATTTGAACGGCAATATTGTCATGCACCTAATGGTAATATTTTCGCATAAATAAAATTATGGGTGAATTATTATTTTTATCTAAAATTAAAAGTTAAAACCTTTATTTTAAGAAAAATTTGTAAAGTAATTAGTTAAATTATTAACAAAAAAATATTTCCTTACTCATACTATTATAGTTTGAATTCTCATTTTCTCCTTTTTATTTATAAACGTTTTAATCAATTGGTCTATCCTTAGGGGAGAAAAGAAAAGAAAAAACTCCGCTATTCTTGTTTAATTTTTTGTTAAAGAATTATGTGCTTAATATTTTCTTTTGATTAAATATATTTTTTTATACATAAAAAGTTAATTATTTACTATTGTAAATATTTAAATTTTTAATTTTCAATTAATGAATAATATCAATTTAATTAAATAAATTGCAATATAAGGCGGGAGTGATAGGCTAAGCTGTTAAGCAGTTATATTGAACTCAGCAGTAACCTTTTCCAAATAGAGAAATTAAGATACTCTAATAATATATAATTATTAATCGGGATCGCCAAAAATATTAAAAAAGAAAAATA